GCCCCACAGCCCTGGGGTTTGCCTTAGCCCCACATTCTGTCCTCCCAAGACAGGACAACTGAAGAGAAAAGGAAAAAAAGAAAATGAAGCCCCTCCCCTCTTTTGGAAGTGAAGTCTAGAGGGAAGTCAGAACCTCTGCAGAAGATGGGGGACCTTCCTTCCCCCCTCTCCGGGTTTCCCAGCCCTTCTCTCTAAGCGCGGTTCTGAAACTATCCAGACACCCGCGCTGCCATGCCGGGGTCGTTGAGAGCACTGAGGAAAAGGGGTCTGCGTCCCATCCAGTCCCTTCTTCCCTCGGACGCCTCCTTGGCCACCTCCGCCACTTCCCTCCAGGAAAATCACCGATTCTCCAAAGAATCCCCCTCCCTGGGACTCTGACCACAAGGTGAAGCGAGGCCTGGCCGGCTGCTTCCCGCCCCCCCCCCCCCGCCCCCCGCAACCAAGCTGGTTGCCAGCCCCAGGCCGAGCCAAGGTCGGCTGGCAGCGCCCGGGCCGGCGGCCCCCGCTCTCGGGCTCCCGGGCAGGCCGAGCGGCCGAGCGCGCCAGCCGCGCCCAGCTCCGGGCCGCGCTCGGCCCCGGCCCCTGGAGCTCGCCTCGCTCGATCTGATGTAAGCTGATATTTTAATTCTCTTACAAGGAATGGTGTTTAGAGAAATGACTTAACCGGATTACTCATCGTCTATAATGACTTGGCCCGACTCCGAGGCTATTCCTAGACGTGACGCTTGAGGCTTTGATTCTTTCTCTCCTACTTTTGCTACCCCCAACTCACCCCCTTTCTGCATTTCCGCCCCCCCCACCCCCCTTGACACTAGCTAAACAGCGGCCACGCCCCTTCACGCCCTACTTGCAAGGCAGCCTGGGAGATGTAGTTCTCTCCTGCCCCCCCCCCCTCCATTATTACTGCCAGTCTGAGCACACTGGTCAGGGTCCGGCCCGGGAGACATCACTTGATCGCCACATGCCTCAGTTTACGCATTTGTCAAATGGGAGGAGCAACTGCACAACTGGGTGGGGAGGCCCACTGAGATGTTGCTCAAGTAAAAATGGTAGGACCCAAACTTGTTAAAACTTTCTTCTCCTGTGCATTTTGTACTGATCCCCACTGGGGAGTCATTACTTTGTAACACTAAGTAACACAAAGAACCTGGCTGTAGTTATCCTGATCCTCTTACCTGACTCACCCCCAGCCCTTCCTTCTTCCGGTTTGGCTGAACCCATGAATGTTTGTATAGGTACTTACTCTCTGTTCCACAATGTCCTCTAGGGTATTCTGGAGACAAACATGCTCCCTTCATAGGTTGGGATGACATGAGATGAAATGACCCAGGCAAGAATCTAATGCCATGTCTAATCTCCAGTGCCCCTCTCACTGAATGTCTGCCCTTGGAATTGAAGGGGTTAATGACAGATTCTGGGAAGCCTATGAGGTTGGCAAGGGTGGTGGCTTCCCCTCCACCAAGCTAGGAACTTTGTTCTGGCTTGGTGGGCTTGTCTCGATGTCTAGTTCGATGCCAGCACATAGTAGGCCCACACAACAAATGTTGAATGGATGGCCAAATGAATAAATGAAGCATTACCCCTGCTTTCCAGAAGAAGTGCTTAAGGCTCTGAGATGTTGAATGATTTGTCTAAGGCCACATAGCTGGGTTGGGTTTGAGTGCAGACAAGCCCCCAAATTTTCTCTCCTCTTACCAGGAAAATTCAACTCTTCCCTTCCCGAGCTCAGAAAGTCCAGAATCTTGGGTTTCTTTTGTGTGAAGTGGGGGTGTTGGGAGAACACACACCCCTCAGCCTAGTCCTAACCCAACTAAAGAAGCTATTCCAGATCCAGCTGCAAGTCTGGGCCAGGGGAGGTGGGAGGGCTGGCTTTTATGGCTCTGAGAAGCGTGTTCATAGCTCTGCCCAGCAGGAAGTTGGCCTTTGGTGATCTGAGACTGAACCTTACCCCAGCACTACCACCTTTCCACTCCTTTATCCCCAGCAGTTCCCCAAAGGCCACAGCTATTCTTGTCTTTTTCTAAAAGAGGCATTTGAAACCATGAGCCAATTTTTTCCATTCCTGAGCTTGGGTATCATCTATTTCGAGCGGTTGTTGTTTTCCATGAGTTGCCGATGCCACTGTGAAGCAAGCCTTTCCTGGACAGCTAGCAAGGGATGGGGGGGTGGGGGGTGGGGGAGGAAGAGGCAGGGCCAGCATTAAAAATACTTCCCACTTCGAGTCCTTTGAAAAAAGCCCTGGGGGCATTTTGCAACTGCTGAGCCTGGGAACATAGCTTCTCTGGGCAGAAAGCTGGCTGTGTATTCAATTTTCTGGGCACTAAATGGTTTTGCTGGTCCCCGAGGAAGCAATGGCTTTGACTTTGCTGGGTGACCTTGGGAAGCTCATTAGCCAGGTGGCCTGATGATCTTAAATATCTGAAAACCCTCCCAAAGTCAAGTTTTCTTCCTAGAAATGGGCCAATGAGAGGAATTGGAAGGCAGCCTTAAAGCTGAGTGCCGGAGGCTCACATATATCATCCTAGCTACTCAGGAGGCTGAGATTTGAGGATGGAGATTTGAATCCAGCTGGGGTTGGAAAGTCTGTGATACTATTATCTGCAATCAACTACTGAAAAGCCAGAAATGGAGCTGTGGCTTAAGGACAGTGCCTACACCTTGAGTTAAATCCCTAGTACCACACCGCAGTAACAACAACAAAGGCAGCCTTAGCTAAATCCTCCCTGAAAGTGTTCTTTAAAAGACAAAAGAAGGACGTTAAGAGATCAGAACCACGATAACAGTTCCCCAGAAAGGCACACAGCTGAGCAGGCAGGAGAGAGAAACTGATTTGTACTCTAATTGGACAGCCCCCCCCCCCAGATCTGTTATGGAAAGCAACAATTAGCACTGTATCATTTATTTTAAAATATAGTACAGCTGCATCTTGCACCACATCATGGATACCTGTATTTGTGAAAATACATCGAGAACATTCTAGAAGACTTTATCCATCTGATAATGGAAAAGGAGAGACCTAGGTTTGGGGTAGTGCCAGAGAGGACTGTTATACTTGCAGTGCTTCCACAGGAAGAATGTGTTTATGTATGAGTAGTGGTTTGTTTTTCTTCTGGAGACACATAAAGACATGAAGACATTAAGGGACTGGGTAGCCCCCTGAGGCTACCTGGGCTGGAATCCTGTGGTTGGAGGGTGAAGGAGGAGAGTGGCTGTAGGCTGGAGATGGAGGTGTGTGAGACAGAAGCTCGAGCAATGAGAATGTTATGTTTTAGGGAGGCAAATGGAGATATCATTCCTCAGCAGGATTTATTGGCCACTGTAAATACTTTCTCTTGCAAATAGTTGCCTCGGGAGGCAATTAAATGTAGATCATATTGTTTCCAGGTTGGGCCAGGCAGGTGTTGACTTGCTGGGGCTTTGCAAAACAGCCCCTTGTCTATACGACTATGCTTGGCTGCCTGGATGATAAGGTAGTAAGTTCTGAATCCAGCTATCAAACCCAGGAGGGAGGAGTTGCCCAGATGTGACCCCAAGGGCAGCATTCAGGTCTCCACACCCAACCTGGTCTCATGCATAATCCAGTGATCCTTACAGAATGGACAAAAGTGAGACTCAAAGCCTATGAAGCATCCTGATAACATCCTATCAGTGGCTCTACCATAACTTCAGCTGTCCTGGAAGTAGGAGTAGCTTCTCATTGTGGAAGTGAAGGGCACAATCAACATTGTAGTCATTGCTTGGGCAGCTGCTAAATACTGGCAATAAGATATCTGTTACCAAATCTGCAAGTGCTGGCCCTACAAATCAACTCATAGTATCTGGAATGGTGGCTTACTTGTAACCCTAGCTACTTGGGAAACTCATATCGAGAGGATATCAATTCAACATCAGCCCTGACCAAAAAAGAAAATAAAAAAAAATTCAAGAACTCCCTCTCTCAACAGAAAAATCTGGGCATGGTGTGGTAATACTTGTTATCCTAGCTAGAGCAGGAAGTGAGGATATCTGTCCAGGCTGACCTGGGCAAAGAGTGAGACCTTATCTAAAAAATAACTAGAACAGCTAATTGTGTACCAGTAGCTCATGTCTGTACTCCTAGCTACTCAGGAGGCTGAGATCTGAGGATTAAGATTCAAAGCTAGGCCAGGCAGGAAACTCTGAGAATGTTATCTCCAAATTAACCACCAAAAAGACAAAGTGGTAAAGCACTAACCTTGAGTGAAAAAGCTAAGGGACAGTGCCTAGGCCCTGAGTTCAAGCTCTGCTACAAGCACAACAAGAGGAAGGAAGGAAGGAAGGAAGGAAGGAAGGAAGGAAGGAAGGAAGGAAGGAAGGAAGGAAGGAAGGGAAGGAAGGAAGGCACGAAGGAAGGAAGGAAGAAACAAGCTAGCCAGCCAGCCAGGTGCCGTGGCTCACGCCTGTAATCCTAGCTACTCAGGAGGCTGAGATCTGAGGATCGGGGTTCAAAGTCAACCCGGGCAGGAAAGTCTGTGAGACTCTAATTTCCAATGAACCACCAGAAAAGCGTATGTGGCGTTGTGGCTCAAGTGATCGAGTGCTAGCCTTGAGCTGAAGAGCTGAGGGACAGCGCCCAGGCCAGGAGTTCAGGCCCCACGACCGGAAAAAAAGAAAAAAGGAAAGAAAGAAAGGGAGGGAGGACGAAAGAAAGAAAGACAGGGAGGAAAGAAAGGGAGGGAGAAAAGGAGAGAGAGAGACAGAGACAGAGACAGAGAGAGAGAGACAGAGACAGAGAGAGACAGAGAGACAGAGACAGAGAAAGAGAGAGGGAGGGAGGGAGAGAGACTGCAGCAGTAATTCTTGCGCGTCTTCACTTTCGCGCACACTACAACTCCCAGGCGTAACCGGGCTCAGGGGGCGGACACCTGTCCCGCCTGAAATAATAGGACTCACCAATAGAAACCTGGAGCGGATGGGGGCGGTGCCCTGAGGGGGCGGGGCTTCGAAGAGCGGCTGGAGCGCGACGCCTGGAGTCAGTCGGAGCACCGGGAGCGCGGGGTCGGCAGTGCTGTCCCGGGTCCAGGGTCTCCGGACGGGCGGCGCAGGACCTCGCCCGGCCATGGGTAAGCAGCCCCGAGGCCGGGGCGGGGGGAAGCGGGGGGGGGTCGGGGGCGGGGGGGGAGGCGAAGCTCGCGGCGGCGGGTCTCTTTTGGCCCTCAAGGAGGTGGGACCGTCCTTGGGGGGCAGAGGGGACGGGAGGAGGGCTCGCGGGGCCGGGGTCCGCGGAGGGAGCGCGGGTCGGGGCGCTGGCAGCCCGCCCGGCGCGGGGCGGGAGGCCTGGGTGTCTTCGCGCGCGCTCTCCGAGAAAAGGAAAGACAAAAAAGAAAAAGTTGGGGCGGTCAGGGGCTTCCCGGGCGTTTATCTCGAAACTCTCGTCGGCGTCTCCGGACTGAAATTTCACCGAGCCCCGGACGGTTCTGTCTTCCCACTTCCTGCCGCGGTTTCAGTCTCGAGCTGGGCTCAGCTAATTTGTTGTGACAGCTGTCAGCAGCAGTTCCTCTGCCTCCGGCCGCTCTGTCCCCTCCCCCGTGACATCCCCGGGGTTCTCAGAACCCGCCGACGCGGCCCGCGGGCGTCCGGGGCCCGCAGGCGTCCGGGACCCGCAGGGGCCGCGGGGCCGCGGGGCGCTTTCCACGCCGGCCGCCGTTTCCTGAAAGTGACTTCGCGGGTATTTGAAGAACTTGCTCAATGCGCTTTGAAGAATGAACGGTTCCTCTTTCGGCGCCGCTGGTTTCTAGTGCTTTTCTTCGTTCTCCTCGCCTTTCTGATCTCCTCTTCACACACCCCCCCCGCCCCCCATCCCAGCTGGAGGCAGGCCGTTTTCCTTTGCGCTCCTCTTCTTTGTCCTGACTTCCCCCTTCTTTTCTTTTCTATCGTGTCTTCGGAAGGGACAGGGTTGAGGCTGTGGCATTGATGGTGATGCGGGGAGCAGGCAGAGGGCAGAAGCGCAGGCTGCTGGCATGCTAGGAACACAACCCGCCTTGCAGTCGGCCTTGCCTGGGGGCGCAACCCAGGCCACACATCCCCAATATTCCGCACTAAGAGTTATCCAGGTGTGGGGGGGGGGGTCTCACCGCCCTCCACTCCTACCCATGCTGGCGACCTGGATTCAGGAACCCAAGGGCTCAGGGAGGTCCCAGTGTCCTTATAATGGCCTATTCACCTTACCTTTGTACAAAGGCAAGCTTTTGGGCCTTGGGCCTGCGTGGAAAGATCCACAGGACAAAGGATCTCGCAAAGGAAACAGGTGCTTCTTGCCCCCTGCCCGATCCCACCGTGGGGAACGGATGAACATGTGAGGGTCTCTGTACTACAAAGTTGTGCCAGGGCAGGGAAAAGTGAGAGAGATGGTCCATTCCCTACAGAGCTGAGTTAGTCCAGTCTGACTACCTAGGAACTAGAACTTGACATGACAGAGGAAGAAAGGGCTTTAGAATCAAGCCCCTCTAGTTCTGATTTACAGTCAGAGAATCTGAGGCAGGGAAACCAAGTCTAGCAGTGAGGGACAAGCCGCCAAGACTCCTTGCCCCTCTTTCCCTATGGTCTTCTGTTTCCTGGGTGGAAAACTGCCCTGGAGTGGCCCACAGTCCCCCTTAGGTTGGTGCAAGGGACTTGGAGGGCCACAGTGTGGTGGGGTTGTACAAGGGAAGTGGAAAAGCTGAGGGGTTAGGGGGTGCCCCTTGCAGGGGTTCTGGCTGTGTGGTTGGGACACTTAGCACCTCTGAGTCTTGTTTCCCCTTGGTGGTAGGGGGTTTATCCATGGATAGAATTGTTACTATTACCATCAAACATCACCCACACTGGGTGGGGAGAGACGGTAGGGGTTCAACCTATCCTGGAATAGGATCTTTTAGGACATCCCAGAGCTGAGTGGCCGTGGGGCCTGGAAATGAGTACTCTCACATTTGGTGCTACCATGCCCTGTGCTTTTGTGCACCTCTCTGAGCTGTTGCCTTGGCCCAAGCTGCTTATAGATCCTTCACGTCCCTCTCCCCCACCCCGAGCCGAGGTGTGGAGGCTGGGCTGTGGCTGGTATTATATGCTAGGTCCGCAGGGTATGTCCAGCTTGTCTGTCCTCAATGCTGGCTTTTGGCAGCTCCCCTTCCCAACCCACCCACTGGAGCAAGCCCCAGCAGCAGACTGCCAGGCAGACTGCTCCTGGGCCACAGAGTGGACTGGCTGCTTCAAAGGCTGTCTTTGTTTCCATTCCAGCTGGAGCTAAGAGAAACTTAAGCCAACAACCTCAGGCAAGGGGGTGGGTCCATGTCTGCTGGTTGTTATTGAGACAGTTGTTGCAATTATTGTTGTAATCTATGCAATCTTCCTAGTCAGTGACTTTTCATGAAAGGAAGTGTCACTTCCTTCCTATCATACTGAGAGGGAGTGGGCCAGGCAAGAAAAAGAGAGGGAGGGTAAGGGGTACCCACACTCAGCCTGCAGGTCAGCTCAAAGCTATGTGGTCTTGGGCTAGGCTCTGGTCCTCTCTGGACATCAAGAGTATTTGAGATCAAATAGGCTCATCCTAAATACCCAAGCTGATGTTTAGAGAGTTCTTTGGTGTAGTGAGCTACCATGGGGGGGGCTGGACAGGACCTGCTGGTTCAGATCTCACTGAGGAGGTGTGCACACACAGACTCCATTGTAGTTTGTGGGGGAGCGTCATTTCATGCTTTCTTCTGCCTAGAATACTGGCCATTAGGCCAGCACACACATCTTCCAGTGGCAGACTTGGTAAATGATGCGCCTGTGTGGTTCCCAGCACTCTCCTCCTCCTGCCCAGTCTCATCTGATTTCAGCTCTTGTCTGAAAGGGCTAGAGGACAGACACACAGGGGGTGTGATTTCCCCATGGCCTCCATGCTGTTCCTATCCAACTTCTGCCATGGATAAGCCCAGGGAGTTATGTTCAGTGACTCTACCACTGTCTTCACTTTCTTCTCTTTGTGTAGATCCCCTGTCGCTTGTCCCAGGTAGGCTGAGCCCCGGCCAGAAGCAGCCCTTGGTATCAGGTGGTAATTCCTTAAGGGATTCTCAGTAACTATCCATCATTCTTCTCCTATGAAGGAAGATTAGTGAGAGACCCCAGGGCCCTGGGGGCCTATGAGGCCAGGGATGTGGATTTACAGTGGTAGATGTTTGCTCCTTCCCACCTTGGGTCTGGCCAATTGAGCTTTTATACAAACCTGCTCATGTTAGCAGAGTGACAGACGGATACAGATCCACACAGGAAAAGTGGGAAACTTTGTACCCTCAGCCTACATTCAGAAAGCTCTAAATGTTGGGATTTGGTGTCTTGGAACAGTCCAATTTCTCTGATTCAGAATCATAGCTCTGCCACTGGACAGCTGTGTAGCCTGAGGCAAACTGTTGAACCTGTCTGAGCCTCAGGTATGAGGTCTGTTAATCATCCCTGGGCTGGGGTGATTCAGGAAAGCACTTATAAGATGCCTTGTCCAAGCCTGGCCAGAACACTTCTTTGAGTGATGGACCTGTGGTTTATAAAGGGAAGGAATCACTTAAGAACATACTTTCAGGAGCATGCTCTACTTAGAGTGAGTGACTGAATGGAAGCCCTTTGCTGTAGTTTAGGATGTGAAGGTTGAGCTGCCTCATTCACAAGCCATGGAGCTGAGCAGACATCAAAGTCATAACCCATGAGGGGCTTGGGCAATTCTCCCTGCCCCACCCACATGATGCCTAGGTTGGGCTGGATACAAGCTCATCTTCTGGCCCAGTACCCCATCTCCCTTGGTCTTCCTGACTGCAGTGGATGAGAAGTGGAAGGGGCTTGTGGAGTACAGTCCTATGTTGAGTATCACGGCTTTTCTAGTACTATTGTCTAACTGCACAAAATTCTAGGATCAAATTAGGAATAAATTAGGTGGGAAGGACACAGGGCCCAGGAAGGAACTTCTGCCAACCTCAGAGGGCTCCCTGAACTAGTAGAGACATGTGGTCTTAAAAAGAAGGGTGCATTGGGGCTGGCAAGGTGGCTCAGTGGTAGAGCGCTTGCCTTGCATGCCAGAGGCCCTGGGTTTGATTCCTCAGCACCACATAAACAAAAAGAAAAAAGCCAGAAGTGGCACTGTGGCTCAAGGTAGAGTGCTAGCCTTGAGCTGAAGAGCTGAGGGACAGCGCCCAGGCCCAGAGTTCAGGCCCCATGACCGGACCCCCCCCCCAAAAAAAGAAGGGTGCATTGTCAAAACTATCATTTTTCCTTCAAAGTAGCTTCTAACTGCAAGTGCCATTCCATCAAAACCCCACTGGTATATTTATTTATTAATTTACTCATTTATTCATTTTGTAGAAAATATGACCACATTATCCTAAAGTTCAGATGAATTTTTTGGTGTTTTTTTTAACTGTATTTGTTTGTTTTTTGTTTTAGTACTGAGTATTAAACCTAGAATGTTGCACTTGCTAGGCAAGCACTTTGCTACTGAGCTACATCCCAGCTCCAGGTGGAATATTTTAAAAAGAGAGCAATAATGAGAGACTTGCCCTCTGAATAACAAATGGTTTCATAAAGCTACCAGCATTCCACAGTGAATGGAACAGAACAGAAAGTCTAGAAATAGTTCCAAAGGGGCTCCTTATTTGTAGTGGGATTGTGGGGAAAGTAACATTTCAGGAATGTTACTGGGAGAGAGGGGTCACTCAGAGAGTACTGACACCCTAACTAGTGTATATGCGTGTGTGTGTGTGGGGGGATATGGGTAAATCTCCATGTCTCACATCCCACCGCCACCAGATGTAGATTCTAGGTGTGTTACAAGTAAACATTGGAACACCAATCCCCATTATCATTACTGTTTTGTGGACTGAAAAAGTCAGGCCTGAAAGACATTCTTGTGGTGAGAAGAGGCTTCTTTTATGTTTTAATCTTGATCCAACCCTGGGACACTGAGGTCTTGTCTTGGAAGGAACCTTCCATACAAGCTCGGAGCCAGACACTGAGTAACATGACTCATGGCACGTAGGGACAGGTAGATTTCTCCAGCCTCTGCAGGTAGGGAGAGGCTGGACTGTGGGATCATCAGCTTCATAATTCCCTTCCCACCCTTCCAGAACCAGAAGTGGAGCCTAGCTCACCGTTACATGCTTGGGCCCCTCATAAGCTATGAGCTGGGCAGGCCAGAGAACGCCCCCCTTCCATGTCTTTAACAGTGGATATCAAACTTAATTTTCATCAGAACCTTTTTTACAAATGAAGATTTACATGGCAATGAGATTTATGAATGAGTTGGGTAAAGGTGGGGTTAGGGCAGGTCAGCACTAGACAGAAGACACCTGGAAAAGGGAGAAGTGTCTCTCTGCCTCCTCTTCTGCAGAAGTGGGCACCCAAAAGGCACTGCCAGGACAGAAAGAGCGCTAGCCCCGACTGGAAGAGAATGGAGACCAAGTTCATTTGGGGACTCAGAACAGAGAGAGTGTGTTTCCCTGGGTGGCAGGAGGCAGGAGCTCTGATCCCTTTCCCATCTAGGGTTAAAACAGCTTGGATTGGTGACCTCCTTTCCAGGTAACCTGAGTGCCCAACTCCAGGATATTTTTCCTGAGCACAGCCTAGGCAGAGTTCACAAACTCCAGAACTCAAATCTGATAACCCACTGGGATCCCTGTGGGGTAGACTCTCATGATACCCCTTATAGGACCTGAAAGGTCAGTCTTTAAAACACATTCCCAGGGAAGTGGTGGTGTAGCTCAAGTGATAGAATGCTTACCTTGAGATGAAGAGCTCAGGGACAGTGCTCAGGCCCAGGGTTCAAGCCCAACAACTGACAAAATAAATAAGTTAATAAATAAATAAATTAATTAATTAATTAAAATACATTCCTAGATGAGTGATAGTCCAACCACCTATTGATCTGAAGCCCGATGGACACCAACATGCCATTCTGTTTGTATCTAATTTGCAAGAAACCCATCATGCTCAGGGACACTCAGGTGGAAATCCTTCCTTGACCATGGCTAGGATGTGAGGCAGCAAGAAGTAAGGGAGAGAAGACAGGACATATGGAGGGGACAGGCAAGCAAGGTAACAAAGAGGTCAATGCCTCTCTTCTATATTGGAGGAAAGGACTGAGAACTTGGTTGGAAAGGCATCAGGCTTAAAGCCAGTTGTTAACCCAGCATTTCTGGAGACTGGTGTGAACCGAATGACTGAAACCAGCAAAGAGGGTGACTGAGTCTCTGTCTTTGATGGGCCTCAGGACGGATGTCTCTCCTGGTGTAAATGGACTCCTTATCAGGGTTTTGCTAATGGACCTGTAGTCAGACAGACTTCATTTTGAGTCCTGGTTCCTCAGGGAGACAAGCCACTTGACCTCTCTTGATTGTTTCCCCCTCTTTCAACGGGAACCCTCCTGGGACTAAGTGACAGAATGTGCATGAGAGAGCCAAGGACATTGAGCCAAGGACCTAGACAAAGTGAGTAAGCAGTAGCAGATGGAGCTATCACAGAAAACAAAGATCCTGAAGATCTTTATGCCTCCAGCCCTCTGGATGGTGTTAGTGTGTGTTTATGTTCCTAAAGACATTTTATTTTATTTAAAATTTTTTTTGCCAGTCCTGGGACTTGAGCTCAGGGCCTGGGCACTGTCGCTGAGCTTCTTTTGCTCAAGGCTAGCACTCTACCACTTGAGCCACAGTACCACTTTTGGCTTTTTCTATTGATATGATATTGAGGAATCGAACCCAGCGCTTCCTGCATGCTAGGAAAGCATTCTACCACTAAGCCACATTCCCAGCCTTATTTTATTTTTCTAGTACTGGGGTTTGAAATCAGGTCCTTGTGCTCTTGCTTAATTCCTTTGCTCATGGCTCTACCACTTGAGTCATACCTTCAGCCAAGCTTTTTGCTGATTATTATTTTGTTGGTGGTGGTGGTCGTGGAGCTTGAACTCTGGGTCTGGGTGCTGTCCCTCAGCTCTTCAGCTCAAGGCAAGTGCTCTACCACTTGAGCCATAGCGCTACTTCCAGTTTTCTGGTGGTTTATTGGAGCTAACAGTCTCGTGGGGGCCGGGAAGGTGGCTCAGTGGTAGAGTGCTTGCCTTGCATGCATGAGGCCCTGGGTTCAATTCCTTAGCACCACATAAGCAGAAAAAGCTGGAAGTGGAACTGTTGCTCAAGTGGTAGAGTGCTAGCCTTGAGCTGAAGAGCTTAGGGACAGCCAGCCCCCAGGCCCAGAGTTCAGGCCCCACAACCGACAAAAAAAGAGTCTCACAGACTTTCTTGCCTGGGCTGGCTTTGAACTACGGTCCTCAGATCTCAGCCTCTTGAGTAGCTAGGATTACAGGCATAAGCCACCGGCACCAGGCTTATTTTTGAGATGGAGTCTCACAAACTTTTCTGCCCAGGATTGACTAAAACACCCTGACCTAAAAACATTCATTTATCTGGGATGGAGAAGGAAATCCTACAGTTTCTATCAATAGGGATTTCTTGTGGATCAGGAATAAGGACCTGTCCATAACAGATAAACAAGAAGCAAAAGGAGAAAAAAGGAAGAGGAAAAAACAAAAGAACAAGTTGTCTAGGCTAGACATGGTGGTCCATGCCTGTAATCCCAGCACTCAGAGGTAGGATTGAGAGTTTGAGGCCAAAGTGGGCTGCATAGTGGAGCTCAGTGGTAGAATAGTAGAGTGGGAATTGAATAGAATATGCACAAGTCCCTGGGTTTGATCCCTAGTACAGAAAAATAGATGTTGTACGTGCCTATAATCCCAGCACTTGGGAGGTCAAGGCAGGAAGATTGAGGGTTTGAGGCCAGTTACATACTTAGTGAAATCGTCTCAAAAAAAGAGAAAAAAATGATGTGAGTTCCTGATGCCAGATTTGCTCTGCCAGCCTGCTTCATGGCTTGAGGCAGTTTCCAATGGTTGTGATGTTTGGAATGGCAAAGGAGTTGCATTTTTGCAACCCATTGGTTTCCCTAAGTAGAGTGGAATGCATGGCCCCTTTTGCATGGTTGAACCTTGCAAGTAGGCTTATCTGGTGCCTACTGGATGGTGGGGGTGGATATTGAGGAGCTAGACAAATGACAGGCAGTCCATCAGGATGGCTGTGAGTAGCCAAGGCTAAGACGAGGAGTAGGCTGGCCAAAGCCACCTGGAGGAAGGGACTTGTTAGGAGGGAACTGAAGAGTCACAGAGAGGACAGCAGCAGGCCCAAGTAGGAGCAGAAGCACTCTGTGCCTACTCAAGGAAATGTCTAGTATCTCACAATTTATTACTTGTTTTCATCTAGATTATTCTTGGAGGGACAATTGTGTGGTGCTATGGAAGTCCACAGACATGAGGGCATTGGCAGTCTCCCCAATACTGTTGAGCTGCTGTGAAACTTTCTGCCTGAACACGGGCTGATCATTATGCTCCACCCGGCCTCCTCAGATTGACCCTGATGAAACTTAAAGGGTTTCCCTCAGATGTGGGCAATGACAAGGGAGAAGATCCACCAGGCCAGGACAAGCTGCTGCTGGATGGTGGTGGTGGTGGTGTGTGTGTCTGTGTGTTGTTTAAAGGAAGAGTCCAACTGCATGCAGGAATGACTAGCAGGGGACACTGGATGGAAGAGCTAAAGACTTTCCCCTCCTCTAGCCCATTGCAGCTGGGGGTGAGGGACTACTCCTCAGCTACATGCATCCCATGTGTCCTTTCCTCTCTTTCTTTCCTCTCTCCTGACAGCACCCTCTGCCAAAGGGAAAAGGAAACAATCAGAGGAGAGTGACTCCTTGGAACTCCCTGTGTCCCCTAAACCTGATGGTGAACAGAGCAGGAGCCAGAGCCCCGTCCAGCAGGAGGTGAGTTAGGAGACTCCTGGGGCCTCTTCTCCTACATTTTCAGCCTGGCCTGCAAGTGGAATCTGGAGACACCTTGAGCTCTGAGGAGGGAGATGTGCTCCTACCACAAATTCTGCAGACAGCTAGGGCCCATTCAAAAGGTACAGGAGCTGGATGCTGGAGGACTCACATGTCACCTGTGGCAATGAGTTTCGGCCTTGGAACTTGCTTTTTAAATACTTCAGTACTGAAAGAAATAAAAAAGAAAAGAAGAAAGATAGGTAAGAAAGCAAGAAAGGAAGAAAGAGAAATGAAGGAAGGAAGGAAGGAAGGAGAAGGGAAAACAGAATATGCACTATTCACTCTAAGATGTAGAACTACATTTCCATCTATCCATCCAAGCTGATAGCATGGAAGCATCCCCTCTGGGGGATGCAGGCCTCATGGAGTAGGCCCACAGCACCAGAAGAACCCAATACCCTTGTTCCTTTAACTTGTACCCCAGGGCGACAGGACACTAAGCCTGTGTTCCAGGAGCTCAGGCTGCTGGAGACGCCAAGATGGAGATGTAAAATCAAAAACAAGATAAAGAAACAGCTTAGAGAAGGCAAGGCTGCCCTTGTGGCTGCTTTCAGCCCTCCTTGGCTGTTAGACTCCCGTGGAGCTCTGGACTCCAGCCCTGTCCTGAGTCCTGGTCACTAAGCTGATGCCTGTGCCTGTGTCCAAAAGCAAGATGACCGCAGTCCAGGACAGGAGGCTAGGTGCTCTCAGGGAGCCTGGGGTTGGGGCCAGGCACCTCTCCTCACAGCCAATGGTGCCCACATGTCCAGCTACCTACCAACTGGGGTCCATCCCCACGCCTCCTGTTCTCTCCCCAGGACTCCCCCGAGGCAGGCGGGGAGCGGGAGGAGGAGCAGGCCTTCCTGGTCAGCCTCTACAAGTTCATGAAGGAGCGACACACGCCCATCGAGAGGGTGCCCCATCTCGGCTTCAAGCAGAGTGCGTCCCTGGGGTGCAGGCAGGGAGGGGGGCCCGGCAGGGAGCCTCACCTAGCCAGGGCAATGGGGAACTCTGGATGCTGACAGCTTACAGGGGCTGCAAACAGAAAGGTGCCTCCCTGTAGGCTTAGGGCTGGCAATGGGTGGAGCCACTGGAACAGCCTCTTGGCCACTGGGCCAGTGAGGTACTCACTGGACCAGTCTGCCCTCTGTGTTATTGGCCTGTCTGGGTGTGTAAGGGGCTGCAGGCTGCCCCCACCTTCTGCAGAGGCTGAAAGCTGGCCTGGTGCTTCTTTCCTCTAGTTAACCTGTGGAAGATCTACAAGGCAGTGGAGAAGCTGGGGGCCTACGAGCTGGTAAGGAAGGCTCATTCTGGCTCTTACTGTGCCACATCTCCAGCTGTATCCCAGGGCGAGCTGGGGAAGGGGAACGTTAGCTGTCCACGAGAAAGGAAGAGCCAGAGTCCCCAATCCCAGCCCTTGCATGCCGCGGGGAGCAGGGACCTACCCTCCCTGCTGGTGCCTCGCTGCTCCAAGCAGATTTTTTTTTTCTTCCCCATCTGTGGTGCCTTCCTTTCCTCAAAACTTGCTTGGGCTAGCAGTCAAGCGGTCCTTGGGAGAAAAGATTGGTGGGTGCTGCGTGGTCCCCTTTAGCATCCCACTTAGCCGCCCCCATCCCTGCAGGGGGGAATCTGGGGTTTCAAGAACCCTGCCACTAGGGGGCACTGCCTCAGATGATGACCTTTGCAGGTGACGGGTCGCCGCCTCTGGAAGAACGTGTATGACGAGCTGGGAGGCAGCCCTGGCAGCACAAGTGCGGCCACGTGCACACGTCGCCACTACGAGAGGTATGCAGGATGTACCACAATCTCCCTGGGTAGAGGGCTCAGTGCATTGAGTCCTCAGCTGGGCCAGGAATTGTGTAGCCACGGGAGGAGGAGCGGTGGTCGGCTGTGCGTACTGTCAGGGTGGGGCTGACACTCTGGGGACACCGTAGGGGACATTCCTGCTGGTAGTAGTGATGGGGAACCAGAAGGGCATGGATAGAGCCAGAGGCCAGCCGTGTGGGATGACCACCAGCTTCCTGTGGTCACACTGACTTCTCCTCAGGCTGGTGCTCCCATATGTGCGGCACCTGAAAGGCGAGGATGACAAGCCGCTGCCCCCCTCCAAGCCCAGGAAACAATACAAGATGGCCAAGGAGCACCGGGGGGATGATGGAGCCACGGAGAGACTGAAGAAGGCCAAGGAGGAGAGGCAGGTGGGCCTGGTGAGTGTTGACCCGCTGCCCCTCTTGACTTCTCCTTGCAACTCTCCTACCTGCCTGGCTGTCTCTGCCAGGCTCCCTGCTGGAAACATTCAGTGCCCGCTGCTAGGGCCTGTCCTTGCCCTAGGTCCTTTGAAGCCCAGCTCACATTCAGTCATCAAGCGCTATGTCTGGATTCTAGGCTGTATCCACCCATAGGACAGGGCACTTTGTGAAACTTTTGCTGTAAAGACTAACAAGGGTCCTGGGCACCCCGAAAACTCTGCTGCATCCAGGTTCCCAGGGTAGGATGCAAGACCCATCCCTAAGGCAAGGATTTTTCTCATTCTAGATGATTCCAGAAAAGACCAAAACAGATGCTACTGACCTGGCACAGCTTCCTAGCCAGGGGCCCTCTAAAGACAGCATGAAGCAGCCAGATCCAGCCTCTGGGCCCTCCCTGCCTTTCGTAGGTACCAGCAGCTGTCCTGAAGCCTACAAGCGGTTCCTGTCCAACTTCTACTACAAAGGGGCACATGGCATCATGTCACCACTGGCCAAAAAGAAGCTCCTGGCCCAGGTCAGCAAAGTCGAGGCCTTGCAGTGCCACAAGGAGGGCTGTCGTCATGGGGCAGATGGCTCTGAAAGGGAGCCCCCAGAGAGTCCTCAGACCCTCAGAGGGCTAGCTGAGCACTCAGAGCACCAGCTGACCTCTCAGGAGAGACTGCAGGCCCCTGGGAGCAGTGTCAAGGCTGAGGTTCAGGCAGGGCCCTGCCCCACCGCCCCCATCTTCACAGGCTGTTTCCACGCCTACCCTACCGAAGTTCTGAAGCCTGTCAGCCAGCACCCCTGGGACTTCTCCAGCCTGAAAGACAGAGTACTCCTGGGGCCTTCTAGCAAAGAGGAGGGGCTACCAACCCAAGAGCCCCAGCTGGGGTGGGGTGGGGATGCCAGCCGCCCCTCTGCATTCCAGAAAAGCAGTTCCAGGAAGAGCAGCTTCTACCCTAAGCCCAAAGCCTGCTGGGTGTCCCCCATGGCCAAGGGCACCGCTGAAAGCCTCTTGCCCCTGTCTACCCACCACAACATCTCAGGCCTTGGCCACAAGCGCAGCCTGGAAGAAGATGGTTTTACCCATGGTGGTAAAAAACTGAGGGCAGTGACTCCATTTCTGAAGGAGATGGAAACCAAGGAATGTGGGGTTAAGTCTACAGCACCTGGCCTGGCTGTCTCCTGCCTGCTGGGCCCAGGCCTGGGGCCTGCTGCCCCAGAGGCATACAGGGGTACCATGTTGCATTGCCCGCTCAACTTTGCTGGCACCCCAGAGCATTTGAAAGGCCAGGCCACACTCCCCTTCAGCCCTCTGGTCATCCCAGCCTTCCCAGCCCACTTCCTGGCCACAAGCCACTCACCTGTGGCCACTGGCTTGATGCACTTCCCCCCTACATACTTCGACAGTGCCCTCCGCCACAGACTTGGTCCTGCTCCATCTGCCTGTCACATACCACCTGTCACTACCTACACAGCACCCCCCTTCTTCCACCTCAACACCAAGCTATAGGCTCTAACCTATGGCATGTACTTTGCTGTGGAGGGTCTGATATGGCCCAAAATGGGCAGGCACTGCCCAGACCCTGGGCCGGAGCCCATTGTCCAGGACACCTGGGCTGGGCAGGCTGGCACAAGGAGAGGCAATAGGAAAACTGGATTTGTTTCAAGAAAATATCCCCAGAGACTTGAGTTGTGACAAGACCTGAGAAGAGGATAATGCCCTCCTCCAAACAGAGGCCAGGATCTGGGTGAGGGTCTTGGGAGTCAGATGGCAGCTCAGAGAACCCAAGTTGCCCACAGAAAGTCCAATAAAAAGTGTGATTGCACCCAGCCTTGCCATGCACAAGGACTCTCGTGAGTGCAGGTGAGCTGGGAACAGGCTCGTGGGTGGGGTTATCAGTCTGAGCAAAGGGGACAAGCAAATGACATCTAGGGGCCTCATTGCCACCACCCCTCTGAGCAGTGGACCCACAGCAAATCTCAGCCTGGGTGTGGTTCAGTAGGCCTTGCACTGCATCCTGTGTCTTCAGTCCACTCCCAGATTGCTAAGCCTCAGGCAGGTGTGCTCCAGCATAGGCTTGAGTGACTCTAGTACTTGGCTAAGCAGCAAGCCTCCAGATTCTCTACCACATGTGCCCTGCATCTGCTAGCTAGCACTGGGAGGGGAGTTGCTTGTTTCGAGACAAGAGTCTTACTGTGTTACCCATGTTGGTCTTGAGCTCCTGGGTACAAGAGATCTGCCTGCCTTAATCTCCCCAGAGCTGAGACTATTAGCACGTGCCACTACACACAAAAAGAGGGGACTTTTAAGGGTGTAAGCATGAAGGTGCTCTGGAGGCAGATACAGATTTGGGAGCCCTGCTGCTGAATGCTCTTCAGCAATCCCTTGCCCCACGCCCCTTGTCTGCCCCACACAAAAGACTCACTGAATTCACTGAAAAAGGTCATGGACAGGGGAATAAAAAACCAGTCCTGTGCCCAAGCATCTTGGTGTTGGGGTTTCTGAAATGGCTCTAGGGGCAAGTGAGACCCTGAAGCCTTGGGCCCTGCTTCCTGCAGTAGAGACAAGGGTTCCCTTTGAGAGGTGTTCTCCAGGAAGTCTGTCCTCAGAACAGCTTTAAACCTGTACCTAGAAAGGCAGTGCCACTATGGCCCAAGTGATGGCATTGTGCCAATGTAGGTCAGCAGACAGCTCTGACTACCATGGGAACTCACCAGGCTTCCAAACTCGGACTGTGGGCAGGGAAGTCTTGTGTGATATCCTCCCCCCTTAGTTCACAACTAGAGAGGCTGGCCAGGATGAGAAGGGGCACTGAGGATGACAGAATTCAAGCTAAGCCACACAATATGTACCAGTGGCAGCTGTCTATGATGGTGCCCTTCAAGCATGGTCTTTCTCATGCTCCCCAGAGGCCAGTATCTGCTTGACCAGCCTTGAGTTCCTGACTCATGCACTGGCCCACTGCTCCAACCTGTCCCAACCTATGGAGCCCAGTGATTGGCAAAGAAGGGGAGAGCTTGAGTTTTCCCAGGTTCCTGACAAATGTCCTGGTAACTGGGCTGCAGATCCTGGTCAGATAATGGACAGGTGAAGGCTATCTGTTATGCATGAGGTCCTGCCTGCTATGTGGCAGGGTCACTGGAGTCTCCATCTGCAAAGTGACATTGGCCTCACTCGCACAAATGGGGGCAGGTGGTAGGGCAGCAAGGCTTGCAGATTGCTCAGTGCTGTGACAGTGGCACCCTCTGGAGGCAGGCCTAGGAAATACACTTCTCATGAGCATCCGACTCTAGCAAATAATAATAAATAATAATTTCAAGGAAAAATGGCTATTGGGTTTCTCTTGTATAACCAGAATTTCATCCTACATGGAACCATTTCCTAAGGTAAGTAGTGGTGACTGCTGCTTTGACAGCCCCTTTCAGGCTCAAAACTGAAGGAACAGCCCCATACCGGGTCCCACTCTTCATGCTGGAGTGCTGATGCTGTCCAGTCACTAGGTGGCTGCTTCTGTGCTATTGAGTCCTGACATAGACCAGGGCAATTTCCTAAGCAAATGACTGCAAGAATGTGGAGAATGGCACTGATCAGCAGTCCAGAGGCCTTCAGAGCAGGAGCTCAGAGGAGTCACTGGGGTTCCCCATGCACAGTTCAGCTCAGGCCCCTGTCCTCCCCACTCCTGAGGTTTGAGCAGCATCTGCTCTAGGGGTATCTGCACATCGGCACAACGACCAAGATAATTTGAATGCTCCCTGTCCTGGAATGTGGTAGAGTTAAGTTCTGGAGATTGGCAAAGGCAGATGATGGTGTGCATATGCTCTGCCGCCTCCAGGGAAAGCTCTGCCTCCCCAACTTCTCAGGGGACCCCAACCACTACGGGAAAGCCAGCATCACCTGCCCCAGCAAGGGTCTCTGCAGCCACTTGGCCCTATCTGTGGGGCTCCCATGGGGAGAAAGGGGCTGGGGTGCTAGAAGGAGAACAGAGAGAAAGGACTTATGCCTCCCTTGCCCAACTTAAGAGACTCCTGGCTTCATGCCAGGGCCCAGGTAGCCAAGAGACTGGGCTTTCCCAAGGTTTAGTATATCAGTGACAGTTCTTCAGTCTGTTAGTTGCAAGCAGTAGAAACAAAGACAGACCAACGTAGGCAGGAAAGAGCCTGAGTGGCTCATGCATGTAGAGTGAGCGGAACATCAGGCATGGCAGAGGTAGGAGTGTCTGTACTGGGTCCCTCTCAGATGCTGCCATTGGTGAGCTGGAGTTGGCTCTTCCTGGTGTAGAGAGCACCATGGGCATCTCTTCTCTGTTGGTATCCCATCATACTGTGCTAGTAGCCTCAACTAGGCAGAGGTGAGAGTATCTGATACACACCTGAAAAAAAATGTCAGGGATGTTGGTGCATGCCTGTAATCCTGGCTACTCAGGAGGCAGAGGTAGGAGGATCAAGGTCTGAGGCCAGTGCAGATGAAAGAGCAAGACCCAATCTGAAAAACTAGCTAAAAAGCAAAAGAGATCAAGTACTAGTAGCTCTTTATAATCCTGCTTACTCAGGAGGCTGATACCTGGAGAACTGAAGTTCAAAACCAGCCTGGGCAGGAAAATCTACCAGACTCCATCTCCAATTAACCAGCAAAGGGCAGGACTAGGGGTGTGGCTCACTTGATAGAACATCAACTGTGAGCAAAAAAGCCTAGCAATAACACAAGTCCCTGAGTTCAAACCCTGGTATTGACACAGAAGGGGAGTCTTTAACTTCTATTTCCTACATGGGGGACAGGAAATGTTTTTGTTTCCTACTTCTCCCCACCTACTTTATCCTTTTTATTTGTTCATTTTTGTGTGTGCTGGTACTGGGGCTTGAACGCGGCTTCACAATCTCACTTGGATTTTCTGCTCAAGACTGGAACTCTATCACTTGAGCCACACCTCTACTTCCAGCTTTGTGCTGGTTAATTGGAGATAAGAATCTCAGATACTTTTCTGACTAGGCTGGCTTCAAACCACACTCTTTTTTTGGGGGGGGGTCCGGTCATGGGGCCTGAACTCTGGGCCTGGGCGCTGTCCCTCAGCTCTTCAGCTCAAGGCTAGCACTCTACCACTTGAGCCACAGCACCACTTCCGGCTTTTTTTTTTTCTTTTTGCTTATGTGGTGCTGGGGAATCGAACCCAGGGCCTTATGCATTGCAAGGCAAGCGCTCTACCACTGAGCCACTTTCCCAGCCCCAAACCACACTCTTTAGTAGCTAGGATCCTCCTGAGTAGCTAGGATCACAGGCATGAGCCACTGGTTCTTGGTTTCCCTATCTTATTATACAAGCATACATCTTTGCTGAAACTTTTTTTTAAATAAAAAGTACAGAAGGGTTGGAGTCATGGCTGGCTCAAGCAATGAATCTCAGTTCCAGGATGAACTGTCAGGAGAGAAGCTGACCTTGAGTTCCATGCCTGCCTGTGCTCCTGAGGGCAGGCAAGGCCTGTTGCATCCAAGCGTGTCTGCCAGGTAGACCAGATCACTGAGTGTCACCAGGTGCACCACCACCTCTGTCTCCTCATCTTTCATATGGAAGTGACTCATTTAACCTCAGAGCTGTGGGTATTTAGTAAAAGTGCTGTGTAAACTCAAGTTCAGATGAACATGAGTCACCTCCTTTCCCTGCCCAAGGTTCTGCTTGGCCACCCTTTGCCCTGCCCTTTACCTTACAGCTTTTGAAATTCCTGTCTGTGGTTTGACCACTATCTTCCAGCCTGGCTTCTGAGTCACAGACATTCTGACCTTGGGGTCTTGTCTGTGTTTGGGTCAAAAATGGCAAGTCAGTTTCCCACTGGGTACCAACTCAGGACTAGCTGATCATAGTTGTCTGAAGCTTTGGGTTGACTCAGTCTGATGCAATTGATTAGTAATGTCTGCCACAGCCCTGGGAAGGGGAGTATAAGCTCATATGCCACATAGGTGCCATCTCTGTGTGTACAGTGATTTAAGTGGTACCTGATGATGGACCGTTTAACACAGGTTCCTGATTTCACTGCCACATCTCAACCACAGCCCCAGTGGGGTGCTGCTGCTTTTCCTCCCACACGTGCAAGGGTTGTGGGGAAGTGGCTTGACATCACTTGCTCTTGAGCTGCAGACTTTGATGATAGATAGTAATCAGGGAGGCAGCCTCTTGGGAGAAATCCAGGTTAGCTATTCCAAAAAAGAAAGAGGGGGGCTGGGAAGGTGGCTCAGTGGTAGAGCGCTTGCCTTGCATGCCTGAGGCCCTGGGTTCAATTCCTCAGCACCACATAAGAAAAAAGCCGGAAGTGGCACTGTGGCTCAAGTGGTAGAGCGCTAGCCTTGAGCTGAAGAGCTGAGGGACAGCGCCCAGGCCCAGAGTTCAGGCCCGATAACCGGACCTAAAAAAAAAAAAAAAAAGAAAGAGGAAGAAGCTGGGCACTGGTGACTCTTGCCTAAAGTCCTAGCTACTCAAGGCTGAGATCTGAGGATTGTGATTCAAAGCCAGCCCAGGCAGCAAAGTCTGTGACTTCTTTTTGTTGTTGAAATGTGAACTCAGAGCCTCACTTTTGCTCCACTTGCTTGCTTACTTGGTTGGTACTCTACCACATGAACCAAACCTTTGACCTGGATTTTTGCTGGTTATTTTGGATATGGAGTCTCAAAGACTTTTCTGCCTGGGTGGCTTGGAACTATAATTTTCTGAAACTTTGCCTCCTCAGTAGCTAGAATGACAAGCATGAACCAGCAGCACCTGGTTAACATTCTTGCCACCAATATGTCCCTATGACTGATCCTGAGATAATCAACTGAGTTAATGACTAACTAGACTATAGACAGACCAGGATGACCTTGAATGTCACCATGGAAATCCACAGTCTTTTGTTTTTGTTTCTACTTCCTATAGAATATTGACTCTGACTTGTAGATGAGGATGAGAGGAAAAAACTGGGAGAGAGCAAGGAAAAGGGTAATATTGTCTAAAAAGAAATGTATTCTCGGGGCTGGGAAGGTGGCTCAGTGGTAGAGCACTTGCCTTGCCTGCCTGAGGCCCTGGGTTCGATTCCTCAGCACCACATAAGCAAAAAGAAAAAAGCCGGAAGTGGCGCTATGGCTCAACTGGTAGAGCGCTAGCCTTGAGCTGAAGAGCTGAGGGACAGCGCCCAGGCCCAGAGTTCAGGCCCCACGACTGGACCCAAAAAGAAAAAAAGAAATGTATTCTTTACCTGACTTATGTAACTGTAACCCCTTTGTATATAACCTTTATAATAACAATTAAAAATTAAATAAAAAAGAATATTGACTCTGTAAGAACTTTTAAGACATTAGCCCTCAGTGTGATCACATTGATTTGTTGTTATTGTTGTTTGTTTGTTTTAGTCATGAAGCTTGAACCTGGGCCCTGTCCCTGAGCCCTGAGCCCTTCTGCTCAAGGCTTTGAGCCACAGTGCCACTTCCAATTTTCTGGTAGTTAATTGGAGATAAGAGTCTCACAGTCTTCCCTGCCTAGGCTAGCTCTGAACCACAATCCTCGGATCTCAGCCTCCTGAGTAGCTATGTTTACAGGCATGAGTCACTGGTACCTGGATTCTAATCCTCCTTATTGTCTTATCTCAGAAGGAGAGTGGAGCATTTCTGGTGTGTTTTGTTAGAAAGAATATCAAACTTACAGGCAATGTACTTACTTAGAACTGGAAGCCCTTGAAAAAATGGATCGATGGTCAATGACCTTCACTGGGCACTATCTTCAACAATAGTTAAGAAATTATATACAGTTAAAGGAGCTGTGAGCACAATCCCATTGCTATTCCTACTCGGCCTCCACCATGTCTCTGCCTCCTCCCTCCCTCCCCCCCCCCCCGTCTCTCTCTCTGTCTCTCTCTCTCTCTCTCTCTGTGTCTCCCTCTCTCTCTCTTTTTCTGGAATATAATTTCTCCTTTTTTCCCCCTCTGTTCTTATTCACAGAGTCCTATGGAGGAGGCTTTTCCTAGAAGTAAATAAAAATAGTTAATTAATTAATCTTTGCTAGTACTGGGGCTTGAACTCAGGGCCTTTCATTCTTACTTGGCAGTTTTTGCTAAAGGCTGGTGCTCTATCACTTGAGCCATATCTTCACTTCAGCTTTTGGCTGGTTAATTGAATATAAGTCTGCGTGGGCTGACCAAGTATTACGTTATTTTTCCAAGTTGAGCTGACAGCCTGGACACTGTCTCTGAGCTATTTTGCTCAAGGCTAGTGTTCTACCACTTTGAGCCACAGCTCCACTTCTGGCTTTCTGGTGATTAATTGGAGATAAGAGGCTCCTGGACTTTATTCTCCTGGCTGGCTTTGAACTG